TGTTTGTAGCTATAAAAATCCTGTTTGTAGCTATAAAAATCCTGTTTGTAACTACCATAACTCCTGTTCATAACTATTGAAACTGATGTTTGTAACTATTATAACTATTGCCAATCTATTAATTATCAAACGTAAAATACTTCTGAATATCTTCATTAATCTATGCCCCCCTTATGCAATGTTTACTCCAGTAAAGTCATTAAATTAGCTGCCCGTTGGGGTAACTTGATACTATTAAAATATGACTTACCATAAAGCTGATTTTTAGAAACAAGTCGAATAACTACTTAACTTTATCACACAGATCGTACGCTTGCATGCTCTTCTCACTTTTGTTTAACAATGCTATTTGTCTGTTCAGAATAACATTATAATATATTTCACAATGAAGCTATTTAAAGAAAATGCATGTGTATGAAAAAGGGGGATAGAACAACCAAATGTAAGTAAACTTACACTTGTGGTTTTAACTTGTTAATAAAGTGAATGTCTTATACACATTTTCTTTCAAAGCTGAGTATCTAATGCAGGCCTAAATTTAAGTTTGTTACATTATAACATATTCCTGTGACCCGAAGTGCTACAAAAATGTAACACTTTTTGTTACGTTGTGGTTTTTTTCGTTATTGTTACTTCCATCATTATCATCAAAAATTATAAGTTGTTCCTTCTTATATTGTTGTAGAGTCATTATAATAAGAATGAACTCGGAATTTCCAATCTACACATACAATTACATCTGTACTTCACTTTTCTTATAAAACCAATGATAACAAACAATACACCAATATAGAGAAGATAAATTATTCGCATTGATCATAACGTGTTATTATTTTTAAATGTGTTTGTTTGTTTGTTTATAATTAAGCACAAAGCTACACAATGTGCTATCTGTGCTATGCCCACCACAGATATCGAAACCCGGATTCTAGCGTTATAAGTCCGCAGACATACCGCTGTGCCAGTGGGGGCATTTTAAATGTGTATCAATACATATAATTTATTGTGCAGCAGTTTAAAAGTGTTGCGTTTTAGGCACTCTGAACCCCCAAGACGCTGGTAACACTAGTCACCACGAGTACTTCCCAGGGTTACATCATTTACTCAAATACGTGACGCAGAACAAGGGTTTAACTTCTAGTGAGTCATTTCCGAATTCATATCAAGTTATCTACACACTGCACCTTCCCCTTTTATCCCTAAGTCCTTATATGACATTTCTTTTTATCAAACTAATGCAACATAACAGACTCACTGTAACGAATTTGTTATTATATATTTAGATTAAGTCTATATTTACAAACATACATAGCTTATAGTGTTAGATATGTATTGCGAAGCTCCCGCATATTCTCCAAACTTGTAGAAGATTCTCGAGAGCAAGAATCAACAATATGGGTATGTATGTAAACACTTAAATGTAGCTCAGTATTGTTACGTAAAACTGAAAATTCGAGAAATCCTCTACACGCCTATAAATATAACCAACGCGACACGCCAAGAAGAGAGTACATAATATTAGTTTGTTATAGTCAGTGTGCTATAAACTTTGGAAGCTATAGCTGTGATTGTTATAACGCTTATCAATTGGAAAACTTCAGATATTTGACCAGAGGCATTTACAAAGTTCGAACATTACAAATCATTTAACTTCAGTGGATTCTCATTGGACATTAGTATTTTTTACGAAAACATTATATAAATTCATCGTGGAAAACTCGGCGTATGTGTTACTGGTAAATAACAAAGGACAAAGCTAGTTAGCTTCCTGTTAAGTGAGTTATACCTACGTCAACTTGTAATCAACTCGCTCATTGTGAACCCTCAATAAAATATCGAAGAAGTTCCAGACTAAAAAGAAAACTTTATACTACTTGTAAGTTTGTAACGTTTGTTTATAAATAATTGTTTGTAATAACTGTTGTTGTAAATTGTATTGTTCTATATGTACATTAAAACATATTTGTGTTAAAAAAGAAAACTGTGTGTATCAATCTTGTTGGC